GAGAGACGCATTTTCGCGGGAATCGGTCCCACAGGTTATCTTGACCAATACATTTTGTGTCAGTACCCTTTATTGACAAGGAAAAAGATCTAAAAATGTTTTGAAGATGGATAGGCCATTTATTGAATAAAAATTGACCCACATTTTTCTGGGAGAGTACAGGCTGCACTGGTGAGAACTGGCAACGCTCTGTGCTATAACAGCGGTCATCCGCCACCCCCAACCCCCCAAAAAGGCCACTTCCAAGCTTTCTGTGCAAAATACATACTACGATGCCTTTGAACGCACTCCAGAACAAGCAACATCAAACCTTCAATATTTTTCTTGGAAAATGCATACATGAATACCTCTTCTACATGTTCATCTGTGGCCACTTGCACCACAATCAGACAAAAAAATGCTGCAAAAAACTACATACTAATTTCTGTGGTGTGCATCTCTGCCACCGACGCTTCTGCATCAGCGTACACTTTACTTGCGCTGTCATCTTAAATGGTTTTCCAGTTGTCGTTAGTCATCCATTTTCGCTGCGCTCGTGCACACTCAACAAAACCATTAGCGGCAGCTTCATTTCTGGAGTATGCCTTCTTGCTGCAGGGTTCAGTCAGCACAAGGTTACAATCGCAAAAACGATTCCGCACAAGATAGACTCGGCGTGAGCGCATTTGCCTGTTACTGATAACATCATTGCATTTCCCTCGAATTATTTCTTTTTTGGTTTCCTTTCCCGGCAACCCTCGCTAAGACCTACAACGCTCATATTGGCACTGTGTTGTGAAATACAGCTCCGGCGACCGTACAGGGCCGATGAAAAGAAACGTGAAAAGCGCCATTGATTACTGCTTTGCCCTTACACTCGTGGCATAAAAATACGCTACAGTTGTACTTGAATGTGTCATGGATTACTAAGTGTCCTTTCTCACCAGGCAGCTTATAACCGCTGGAAGAGCAATGCGAACAGTGGAGTACTGAGGTTTCACGTTATTTGCATTTAGTTTTAATCGCGCCAGTACAAAGCTTCGGCACTATACCTACCTCATCACTACCGACCTTTGTGGCTGACAAAGCCCGGTACGACAGTTTTTTGGTGTAGTTTTTGTAGAGGATGATACAGCACACTCGGTAAAACACAGCACAAAAAATGAAGTGCTCTTTGTCGTTCATTCTGACACCATTATCATAACTTTTTTTTTACAGTGTAGCTGTTTAGAGCCGCGTTTATGGTTCGCTAGTCGCGAAAAGAAATTGATCATCATCATAAACCTCCTCGGTATAATCTGCTTTTCTCTGAGTACACGTGCGCCGATTTCTCCACGCGTGATGCAGTAACTCTGATGGGTGAGACAACGTGTACATAGAGAGAGAAAGAAAATAGAAAAAGAAAGAAAAATAGAGAAAGAGAGAAAATGAAAGGGTAAACCTATCTTTGTGAGGCGAGATTTGAACCAGCCTAGTCACAATCCGAAGTCGAGCGTCTTAACCAGCGGGCCATCTAGCACGTTAGTAGAGCATACCGTATACACTTGCATAATATAGCATAGTACACTGTCGTATGTTACTGTACAGCAAAGGGGAAAAGGAAGTGAGGGTGAGAAAGAGGAAAAGGAGAAATAGAGCATAAAACATAGCACGAAAAGGAAAAGAAATAGAGATGATAAATGAGAGGTCAAGAGCGAAAGATGGAGAGACGAAGGTTGAAAGAACTCCGCCGCGGTGGTCTAGTGGCTAAGGTACTCAGCTGCTGACCCGAAGGTCACGGGATCGAATCCCGGCTGTGGCGGCTGCCCCGTCGCGGTGGTCTAGTGGCTACGGTACTCGGCTGCTGACCCGCAGGTCGCGGGTTCAAATCCCGGCTGCGGCGGCTGCATTTCCGATGGAGGCGGAAATGTTGTAGGCCCATGTACTCAGATTTGGGTGCAAGTTAAAGAACCCCAGGTGGTCAAAATTTCCGGAGCCCTCCACTACGGCGTCTCTCATAATCATATGGTGGTTCCGGGACGTTAAACCCCACATATCAATCATCATCACTCGGCTGTGGGGGCTACATGTCCGATGGAGGCGGAAATGTTGTAGGCCCGTGTGCTCAGATTTGAGTGCACGTTAAAGAACCCCAGGCGGACGAAATTTCGGGGGCCCTCCACTACGGCATCTCTCATAATCATATGGTAGTTTGGGGACGTTAAACCCCACATATCAATCAATCATGGTTGAAAGAAACAGAGAGCATAAGAAAAGATAGATAGATAAGAAAATGGAATTGAACGGGGATAAAAAAGGGAAGCATAATAACAGAGAGAAGAAATAAAACAAAAATAAGGAAAGAGGTCAAAAAAGCACAAACTGGCTAAAGATGAGCAGCCCGGACCAATCAGAATTCACCAGCTCCACTTTTTTTTTTTTTAGAATTAACCCTTCAGTGGAATCTAAGCAAGTTTTGTTTCTTTTTTTTTTGCTGGAGAGGAGGGGGTGTGGTGGTAGTGACGGGCTGTTATGCAGCCTGGCTTCGATATGAGTGATCATCTGAGGATTCCGAGGTATAAGAACTCTAGTAATTTTGTTTTGTCGGGTGAAGTTCAAAAACACGGAAAGGCGCCCCTTCATTCAGCAGTATCCGAATTCACAACCGCTTAGTTACGCTTCCTATGCTGTACCAATTGTGCTTCGACGGAAGGTACGCCACCATCCAATTTCGTTCAGTACTATTATGGTTGTGTTAGCATGGAAGTGTTGACCAACACCACTTCCTTCCACGGTGGCGAGTGTAAAACACACTTATTTTTTGCCAGACGGGGCCACCCCACCTTGGCTGCTAGTGGCACTCGCTAGCACTGTCAGTCTAAGACACAGAAATACTCAACAAAAGTGGATGATGAAGCCTGTTCTCTCGAAACCCAAGTGGTGGATCCTCAAATGCGCCCTTAGAAGGTTACTGATCTGATTGCACTCATAAAAACTGGTTGAAAACAACAAAAAAAAATTGTTCCCTGTGTTTTACTTTGCTAATTGTCTGTTGTGTTTTTTAATTGTGTTGAATAGAGAAACCAGCCCATAAAAAACAATGCCTTTTTTTCGCAAAGTTAATGAACTTTAGTGGTCCCCTTAACGCAGTGCGCTAAATTTATGGATCGGAGGGTCATATTTGATGTCTTGCGTTTTAGCCGAGTTCCATGAAATATTTCAAATCATTCATCGAAAATGAGCACCTAACTGCTGTATAATAAAACATTTATGCTTAGCTATAAAAATGTACCTTCAATAGCTCCACTCATCTATTATATATCCTCTACTCGCTTAGCAATGCACTGAGAAAAAGAAAGAAAAACAGTGCATAAAGGTTGCGAACGTGTTCTGAAATTTCTGCCGTGCACGGCCGAGGATGTCACGAGGACTTCTGGCCGTTCCCTAGGCGGCACTTTTTGCCCGTATTAAAAACTCGCAGGATCTTTCAATAAAAGTCTTTGTATGCATGTAATGGCCACACGGTTACAATCAAACAGCCATAAGCCAAAAGCATAGGCCGAGCATGTGAGACTTTACGCGTTTTCTAAAACAAGAAGAGTAATGCAAGTTAACAATACTGGAAGCAGTATCATGCACTTGTGTGGGGATCTCAGCCTGCATAGCTCTTAATACAGCTTGATATTTAGAAAGTTCCTTCCACTGAACAAACGCTTTTGAGTTACCTAGGTGCTTATTGGAAGGTATGAGATTTTATGGGACCCAACCAGCAATAAGGGGCTTCTGAATCTACTGCCACAGAGCTGATGGTTTTGTTGTGTTCAGCTACACGCGTATTTTTACCAAGAAAGTGTTTCGCGGTCTACGTAAGGAAAAGGAAACGCGAGAAGAATTCTGCGTGCCATAAATTAAAATAGAAAACAACGCTACCACCGCGTATCTCGAGCATTCTGCTACGCTCGGCTGTAATCTAACGCACGCATGCGCAAAGCGCCTCAAAACTGGGGAAAGCGAAAAAGTTGACATACTCTCAATACGATTCTAGCATGACCATGGGCAACGCGGGGTGGTGGAAAACAATATAAGAACCAGAAAAAACGCAGGCGATTATGAGAGAGAGGGCGTAGTGGCTGTGTTCGAGGTGACGTCATGGTGGCGTGCAGCCTACGTCACGGCTGGCCTCCCAAATATGTAATGACTAATGACTGGTGCCAGGCGCCCTCTTCCCAGGCCGCGCTCAAATGCGTTGCTTCCTGCCCGCGGCGTCTTTTGACGCGTTTGCGACGTCGGCATCGTTTGCTGAAAACCCACGTGTATTGCACGATTTGAGAGGTGAAACGACGCTAGATGCCAAATTGGCAAGCGATCTCCCTTCTCTCGCTCCTTGACTCATCCCCTCTCGCCATTAGGTAAAGCAAAAGGGTGTTGCACGGAGCACATGGTGAGGTCTCCAGTTGGCGAGGTCTCCGAAGGCCTTCCCTTTCTCTCGCGCAATGTTTCCCGCAACTTTCGCTTCACCTCGCACTCTCTCCCTCTCTAGACAACACTGCTACGCTTCGCACCCGAAGGTGGTCCTGATTTTACAGCCACGTAAGAACGCTCTCCGCGTTCGAATGTCCTTCACTCGTCAGCGCGGCGTCGTCCATCGTCGTGAGAACGTGAACGGCGTCTTCCACTGAGTTGGAAAGAAAGGGTTAAGCAGCTCGCAGGCCTTCGATAACTGTTATTAAGAGTCCGGTTCGCCTGGCAGCTGTGTCTTCATATTTCTTTTTTATGCGTGTGTTACCTTCTTTGATATAGCCTTAGAAGCACCGATGCCGAAGGCATTCACGGTCAATAGTCGTTCTTCTTCCTGCCCTCCTTCCCTTTCGGATGCAACAGCGGCTTGCGTTCTCTTTCCCAAAAAAAGCCCCCGTTGTGTGTCCGCTACCCACTGCAGCGTCGTCATATGAGTGACGTCATACGGGCGAGTGGTGACGCGAAGAAGTGTGAGGGGGAAAAACGAAATTGGGAGAGGAGCAGTTCGGTTATAACTGCCGGGTATGGCTCTGCGGAAACTTTAGTAGCCGAAACACGCGTGCGATACTCTTCACGTGGTTTCATCGATTCACTACCGGGACTGGAGCATCTGTGTTCGTTTTCAATGTCGATTTAGATAAGACACTTCATTCTAGTAGGGCAGTGAACCAACGGGGTGTGCCACTGGAATTTCGTTGGAAAGCTCGAGCGTATTGTCTGTCTCTTCACCAAACTTTGTAAAACCTCTGAATTCTCGTCGAGCGTGTCGCTTCAGACAAGTATTAGTTAGCCTACTAAAACTGATTAGGACTGTGATATTACATTCGACTGCAGGCATACTTGCTTGCGGTGATGATATCCGGAAAAATTCGACAAGTTAGGCTACCTGTTTACAGTGGCCTACTATTTCTTGTTCTGTCTTACTCGACGCATACCGCGAAATGCGCTACCATAGCTCCGCAAACTGGCATTCCAAATGCTGAGCAGACTAGTGCGCTTAGCTCGTGGAATCCAACAGTACCCGATACTTCTGTCAGGACTGAAGAAGTTTTCCACCAATCGCCGGGCAGTAGCGTGCGCTTACACTCACCAGCTGTTTCCACGGGAACTAGCATTTCAACCAGTGAAAATGAACGCGCTGCCTCATCGGCTACTTCTTCGAGGCTCGCACGGTCAACAGGTCTCTTTGAATCGACGGGAACGGAAGCCAAGATGTCAGCGACAAGCCCCTATACCCCTAGTTCATCGAACACAAGTCCAGAAGAACCTTCTTCAACAGCTGCTGGTATGCATGAACCACAAAAATCAAGGTTTATTGAAGACTTGAAAGCCGGTATTAGGCATTTCATGTCGACTATGGGCAACGGGCTCGCAAGGAAGCTACTGCAAGCTGAAGTATCGACGGAATGTAGCCTCGGCGTGTTGAAGTTCATGCGCGCCATCCAGGAGCTCGAGCCATGGGCCATGAGACGTAAGTGTTACCTGGTTTGTTCACGCAACTGAGATAACCTGTACTTAAAGGCAGCTGGAATATTGAGCAGAGCAGACACAGTGTGCGTAGAATTAGTTAGTGCCTGATTATCGGCTAGCTGAGATTTTACCACGAAATAAAATTATTGCTATGAGATGCGAAACTACATATTGCATACTATGAGTGCTTGCTCCAGTGCTGGACATGGTGGGGTGTATTTTATCATTTCCAGCGCTGAAGCCTACACGGCTCGACTTTTATACCGCAGTTTACCTCTCTGATTAAGGCTCCAACAAAGCGCCTAAATTCTCCCGACAATAGGGAATCTCTATATCAAGTATACAATTTCTTGCCGTTATTAACGCGCCTAACCTTCATTACATAACTGAACAATTTAGCTTTGTGGGTTTAGCAAGATGTGACAGCGGCCTGCGTCGATGTGCTATATTAAAGCAATAACCACTCATGAGGGGCCTTGTTCAAAATCCTATGTAGTGCTAAAATTGCAGCGCATTTTATTTCTGCAAATCAAATGTAGCCTACATACGGGTATATTTAGCCACGACTTTGTGTAAGAACTCCTCGAGTTGTGCGAGTACATTATCCAACAGATCTTCCATTTGAGTCATCATTAAGTGGACGTTTGTTTACCTACGCACACATGCAGTGATCGACTCTACGGCCAAGTACCCGAACGGCATGCTCCAGGCTTCCACGGCCGACTTGGGCGCTTACGACGAGTGCATCGAAACTGTCGTGGAAGACGAATACGGCGACGTCAAAGTGCGTGGCCAGTACTGCAACGTTCACGTGTCCCTCGGCGACGATCACTCATTCATCGGTGACATACTGCCTGCATTTTTCTACTCACACAGGAGGGTGAGCATACTTACTTTTTATGGCACGGTTTCTCTTCTTTCGTATTTTCTCTATTTATGCTGCAGGAAACAAGAACATTCCTTCCTATTTCCTGTATGCTAATTATAAAGTAAGATAATATTTATATCTACCTGACACATGTTGTTCACTGGGGAACTGAAAAACTCTCACGATATTTAGCCACAATGCTAGCATGTAGACTAAAAAGTAGAGTTCATACCGGTAAGATATTCGGTAGTGAAGAGGAATCCTCATCAGCGCCATTAGTCAAAGGAGGTTTCTGTTCACTTGAGAACCTCATCAAGATGAGCAGAAACGCCCTTAGCCTGGCAGGTGCCTTCAGACACCTAAAAAGACGCCTTGAAGCTCCGCGTATGCTCGCTGCCGCAAGGTTTTTTCATAAAAGCACGTCCGGCTTATTGAAATATTTGCAACACAATTTCTGGTCTAACACCTTTGAAAAATATTATGATGACACTAGAAGGTTGAATGCTCAGCCGACTCAGCCTTAACTGAAATTGGCTTCAACAAGTCTTTAAAAAGACTAACAGCGGCCCAAAACTGCAATGGTATTTTGTACACTAAACCCAGACTCCACTGGCGTCGCGAAGCTCTCATGCAGTTTCGTTGGAAAAGCACAGTGCTGATTTTATACAGTCAGGACGCCTGACATGGCACAGATGCTGCCATCGCTAACTTCAGGAGACACTATGTGGCCGATGGTCAAGCACTGCTGTCTGCTGGAGTTAAATGAAGGCTGCAGGGAAGGCCTACATAACGGCGTAATTGCTGAAAAACTACTTTCCTAAAAAAAAAACGAAAGGTTCTCAGCATAGAGCCTGGTAGGTTGCTCAATTTGCGTGATAACCTGAATTCTGGCGACTAATGATCATAGAGAGGACTTACGGTTGGTTGATCTCGAAAGACTAACAGGTATGGCACGATCTCTTAGCAATATGATTCTAACAGCCATCACAGCCCCATTTCATCTCACTGTTGGCAAGTCCCCAAAGTCAGTTCTCATAAGGCAGCAGGTCTTCGAAATTTCTCGGCACAAATAGCTCATGTGCACCGGAGACGATGGAGGATGCTTTAACGTTTCTGGCGTCTAACTCATGAGAGAAAATTTGACAGAAATGTGTTTTCACGACGGCCCATGCCGTGGCGCTTCCGCCATAGGGTGCTTGACGGCTGTTCGAATGGAGCATAAATATTCTCACCAAATGAACCTATAACAGCCGTAGCTCATCTGCGTAATAACAGAGTGAGATCAACATTCTGAGTATAATTATTACATTGGGGTTCAGAAACAACGTTCTAGAGCAATCAACGTGCGTTGGCTATTGTTCACCTTTCTTAAGCACATCACTTTCAGGTAGTTAGATTACAAGAAAGGCAATGTTTTGCCTATCTGCTGTAGCAGTAAGAAGGATGAGATTTGACCTGAACGACCAAATGTTTTTTTAGTTTGTCTGTAACCAACTATTTCTGTCTCAGGAAGAAGCACTTTAGTCTATCAATGGATGTGTCATGCACTGATCCTCGTCATCAGCCGCATAGATAACAATAATTGCTTGCTGTGGCTAATTTTGCACTTGCTAACGCGCTTTGCATAGTATGTTGTGTGGAGTGCAGGTGCAATTAGCACAACTCCATCTCATGCTTCCGATGATTCAAAAAACAACTTGAGGTAAATGTTAGGGTTAGGCACTGCGTTTTCGTGAGCTATACCTACTAGAAAAATGTGCAAATAGGAACGAGTGAGAACGCTGAAAGCGTGTTTTGTAATTTTCATGCTCTTTTCTTACCAATTCTTCTAGTGATGAGTAAATTTCGGGCTTCGAAAACCAAATATCTCAACCCCCTACTTCTTTGAATTTTGCTCAACTGGTTCTCTCAAAGGGGCCTCGGTTATTCAACTTCAAATAACTGATCGCGGAAACACATTTTTTTGCATATTAAAGCACAGAACTTGAGCCAATAGACGGTGAGCAATGTATTTGTTTCCGTCATGTTTGCAATGAGTGGCAATCGAAACTTGTTTGAGCTGTGTTCAGCAAAAATTAACATGAGAAAATGGTTTTAAGATGCCAGATATGAAACGACTAGATCAATAGTATAGGAACAAATAAACATAGGAAATATGCATTAAGTGGTTCTTGCGCAGCTTCTCGACAACGTTGGAGGAATGCCCTAAATAATAAAACTATGTGCCGTATGACAAACCACGTTTTCGAAATGAATCTACCACTTTTTTTGTCGCATTCAGACAATGCCACACATGAACAGCAGGACCACAGTGCTTTCCATTGTTACAATACGTGCATATTGAACACGTAACGCTAGTGCTATACAAAAAAGGCATAGGTGCCGTGAATATTAAAGCTTGAAGGGATGAAAAATTCCTGTAGACAAAGTGTCGCTAACTACAGCGACACAGCATGTTCACGACGTTTTCAGTGCTGTAGAGGGCATTTTTATAGAAGATGGAGCGTACACGTGATCCTTAGGTTAGCCTAAACGAGTAAGTGAGTGAGTGAGAACAGCTTTATTATGGTCCAGTGCAGACGCTGAGGTTGCCGCGCGTCACCCGGCTACTCCCACGTCGGGACCGGCAGGTCTAGCCTGATGGCCCAGTTGCGGGCACACCGGACGGCCAGGATTTGGTCCTGAAGTTCTGGGCGGTGCAGGAGCGCATCCCACTCGGGTTTGCTATAAGTTGGTCCAAGCGACCCGCACTCCGGAAGCCGTTTACAAACCATAAGCTGGATTTTTATTTCATCAGGTTTTTAATGCTAATCGCGAAAGAGGAACATGCGAGGTCGATTATGTGTTCTTTCAGAGGTGGAACGCTGCGAGCTATTTAACGATGCATTACCAGTTATATTTACCTTACAATCGTGTTTTACGCAGAATGACCTAGCGAGTCGTGTCGCTTTGAAATCGATCGGGTGTACTTCAGGTCAGCGGCAACGTTAAGAGTGTCTTTTTTACTCTGCAAAAAAGTAATGGTGGTCGTTTTATTGCCCTAAGTGTGTTTCTTATTCATTAAATATCTTTCATTTTTTTATTATTAGACCCAAAACTTTACTTCCTATGTCACGGACAAGAGGCTGCCCGGTCTTCGTCTCGGCGTATGCTTCGTGAATTCATGCAACGCGAAAGACCTCACCAACATCGCACAAACACGTACGTACAGCTGTATTCCTATGACTGTGTGTGCGGGTGTGCGTACCGAGGTGACCAAGAAGTACACGTGATTCAGAATTTTGTCCTGACAACAGTGAAAGTATATTACATAGAGCATAGAGGAACGTCTTGAATTGATTCATTACCCCTAATACCAAATATTTGTTGCCAGCCTTCTGGCCTGGCTGAAAGGTGGTGTCAGAAATATGACTTAGTTTGAACAATTACTTAGTTTGAGCACAGCGCTTGTCTCACAATGTTTTGCATTTAAAAGTTTGTGCTGAGGTTGCAAGTAATTGCACTGAATCGTTGGCTTTTTGAATCAGGCATTGAGATCACAATCCACCTGGTAGATATATATGAAAAAGAGTAGTGTTTTATTACAACAAAAATTGCTTCAAGTGCAAGTTAACCAAAATGATCGTTTCATACGCTAAACGTGAGTGGCGTGTGCATTCACGGAAGAAATTCTCGGTTCTGCTATTATTTATAGTTTTTCTTGGAATTTTTTTTACAGTAATGGGAAACGTGGCAAAAATTGTTGTCAAGAACTGCGTGACGAACGAGGATGAAGGAATCAGCAACGCACAAGCCTGGATAATGTAAGTGTATGCATGTGTCTTCGGTTTGCTAGCTGAAACTTTCCATCTTTTATGTCTATGCAGTTAAGAATACGCACATTGTGATAAAGTTTGTATACATAAGATGAAGGAGATCCTGCCTGATCGTGCACATCAGACAGTATACAAAACCCCTAGGTGACAATGTAATAATAATGATTTACAAACGTTCTAGAGATATGAACAATTTAGTGGATGTTAGTTTTACTGTAGCTTAAGAAACGCATATTCCTATATGGTTTCTGTTAGAGTTTGTCTAGAATGAGTACATGTGAGGCTTTTTTTACATCGTTCTCATTCATTTGCAGTGGTTATTTGGCTATCCTAGCAGCTGTTATTGTAGCAGCGACGGGTTTTGAGCTACTGACGGAAAACTGGGACAAGAGTTCCAAGAATGGTAAGAAAATATCTTCGGTCTTGCATTATAACACACACACACACACACACACACACACACACACACACACACACACACACACACACACACACACACGCGCGCGCACGCACGCGCACGCACACACACACACACACACACACACACACACACACATGCACACTAGACCACCCGCCGCACTGGTCTAGTGGCTAAGGTAACCGGCTGCTGACCCGCAGGTCACGAGATCGAATCCCCGGCTGCGGCGGCTGCATTTCCGATGGAGGCGGAAACGCTCTAGACCCGTGTGCTCAGATTTGGGTGGACGTTAACGAACCCCAGGTGGTGGAAATTTCCGTAGCCCTTCACTACGGTGCCTCTCATAATCATATGGTGGTTTTGGGACGTTAAACCCAACATATCAATCTATCATTACAGACACACACACACACACACACACACGCACGTACTATATATATATTACGGAGAGCTTTATTTGAAAACATGCGCATTCATTATTATTTGGTTGAAATAGTGGTATAAAAGAAAACAACCGACTTGCTCTATCTTAGCTGTGAAATAATGGTTATTGTGAGAAAATATTGTTTTCCGCAAAGAACGTGACGCAGCCTACAAACGCAGAATGTGCCTTATAAGACGAAGGGAGAGCATCAAGGGCTTCTTTGACGTCCTTATGGTTCAGGGGTTAAAAGGGTCTTAGTGGTTGAAAATAACGTTGATTGAAAAAAATTCTATGAGTTATAATATGGCATACCTAGTAATCATTTTTATTTGCATTTCTCCAACTGCCAAAAATTAAACTGTGTATTCATTGAAAGGAGCTTTTAACTTAATTTAAATTTTTCCTTCCAGCTCTTCTATACAGGAGCGTTGTGGCGTTCTCAGCCTTGTCAAACACACGACTCATTTTGAGCGTCAACAAGGACAAGGAATCGGAAACTTACTCGTACCGCTTCATGCATGGCATCCGCTTCTTGAGCATCTTTTGGATTTGTCTTGGGCATTCCTACGGAACCATCACTGAAAACATAAGTAAGCCTCCTTGCGGCATTTATTGTCACTATAGGAAATGGTGAATGTTCTGTAACAAACGTTCTGGCTTATAAAGTATACTTTCAGGAAGCTGTAGGTCAAACTGTAAAAAGAAACAAGTTTGCTCTAAAGTTCTGAATAATCCAAAAAACGAATTTGTGCACTACAAACCTTGTTATTTAATCATCTCTATGTTATAGCATGCTGTGAGGCTTCACTGAACTGTTTTCGCGGAGTATAGGGAAGTGAGATGAACAAGAGAGGAACTGTTCCGGGCGTGCATTTTTGTGCACAGACCGGGCTGTGCATGGCGGAACATCTCGAGAGGCACTTCATGTGGTAACCTTGCTGAAATGTTGCGGTGAAATTACTGTCGGCATTCGCAGTGCACCGTATAAGCATATTCAAATTTGACTAAGCATTGTTTATTTCACCATAGATAAGAACATGAAAGCTGGCATTGAAACACTTTATTGACAATGTACTGCGGTTACCTTTATTTCAGCAAGACTTGTGAATGCCCTTCACTACTTCGAGCGCTGGGAAACACTTATTGTAACAGCAGGCTACTTGGCTGTGGACAGCTTCTTCTTTTTCAGGTAAGCCTGAAATGATTACTAAGACTAAGCTGGTAGAAAACAAGCAGGTCTCCTGCTGGAGTAGAAAGTACAGTGTAAAGTGTAACCTTGGCCTCCACCGTCCTATGAAGAGTATGATAAAACCAGACCTTATAACATTAAAATAAAGGGGTATTTTTCATGCAGGCTCTACAAGTTCAAGATGGCACTTTTTTTAGAAGGGTGGGGGGCGTGGAGGGGGCAATGCTATTGCTTAATGCAACGTTAGAAGATTACCTTCTCTTGTAACGTTGCCTCGACGTGGGTTTTAGTAAGTGACGTGTGACTCATTTTCTTGTAAAGCCTGCAAGTCTTGACAAACTTGGTGGCTCATCACTTAATGAATACTTCTCACAATATAGTATTTTCCTCATTGACCAATGAATAATATTTTATAATTACCCTAGCAATTACATTAACAGAATAGAAGCACTTGTTGTGTAAGTGGGCCCCTAATCCCAATGATATGCTTCTGACATAAACAAGAGAGAAGTGCTAGTTACACCTAAGCTAGAACGCAATCACTTTTAAAGGTGTAAAAAAAACATTTAACAGCATTACATTACATACTCTTGGAATATTTCAAGATATTCATTAGTTGGGTCTCGTCTTGATATATCGCACCCGCTTCTTTTTACTTCATTTCGAAATCCAAGCCCCTAAATATCTCACAATATATTCATGAACGACATACTGATACAATTCTTGTGTTTTTCGCTTTTCAGTGGATTTTTATTATACTACACAATCATCAAACAAAAGCGCAACCGATTTGTCGTAGCTGTGGTCGCAATCATCAGAAGATACATAAGGTGAGTTACAGTAAAAAGGTGGCATATAGTTCCGGTTTTTTTTTTTTTTTGCTTCAATGCCCGTGGCGGCAGGCACATTTCGATGGAGGCAGAATGATAGACGCCTTTTTAATGGGAAAAGTCAGTGCGCATTAAAGAACAAATTATGGTCCGCAATTGCGAAGCCCTGCCTCATTGCGCAGCGCATATTTTCATTGTAGTTTTAGCATGTAAAACCCTATAATTTATAACGTTTTTTTTGTTAAAATGTCTCTAAAAAGCAACGAGGTTTCGCCAGTAGCATATAAATTCATTTTAACGCTCTAATATTGTTATCAGTGATCATTTGAAGTGAACAAATGCCCACAACTGTGTTATGACGCAGTTTGTCTTAACCCATTTATTTTGCTGAACATTTACTTCAGTGAAGTGAAGCCAACCTGCACGTTCTATAACGACTATCACCAATAAATAACTACCTTAATCGGTGTCCAGTTTACTTAATATTTCCTTTATTATTCAACAATCATTACAAAAAAACCGTTCAGAAGAAATGTCGATAGTAGTATTGACGACTCATGCAGAAGAAAAAATCCAAATTTCGCGTGTCCGCTTGCGCAAAAAAGGCTCTCAAAATAAATTAACATGAGAATATTAGTAATGCGTCTGACGGAGTTGCTTTCAGTAGCGTGATTGCGTGAGCGAAATTAGTTTGATTTCCCGAATACTGCTTGCGGCCTTTAAGATGGAAGCTTTCATGCACAGATGTTTTGATGCACTGACTTTTCGAACAAAGTTCAATTCTCTTGCATTCGCAGGGCCACCGTGCCACTCTTCTTCATGATCATGTGCATGTACCTGCTGCCGCTGATTGCGACGGGACCCAACTCGAAAGAATTCTACATCAGATTCTACGCCGAAATGCGCAAGCACTGGTGGGACTTGCTCTTCCAGCTACGTAACTGGAGGGCGGACACAGAAGTGGTGAGTGTGGAGGTTTTCACAAAGCTACTGCTTGCTTATGTGATTTGTCAAGTTGAGTGATACACAAAACTTCAGGTTCATCTTCTGAAGTACCACTTTTCTCTGAGAAATCTCAGATGTACTTCTGAAGACGCATCAAAGTTATAGTAAAAGTGAAGAAGAAAAAAAAAACGGGCAAACACAAACTAGTTTTAGGAAAAGTAAAGTACAGCCAAGATCATCCTTAACGCTACTTATCATGTTTACAATACACACAGGCTCACCCACATGTAATGGTGAAAAAAATTTGTTGATTGGCTTAAAATGAGATCAATTATTGAAAGTTTTGCAGCTGTTGTACCATGTGTCTTTTACTACCCATTATGACGTGTTTTTTTGTTTTTATGACTTTCTAGTCCACCATGCCTCACCTGTGGTACCTCTCTGCAGACTACCAGTTTTTCCTGGTTGCGCTGATAATTATCCAGATCTTTAGAACGTAAGTATTTTTTACATATACGGTAGGCAGAAAGCATAAATATTTTCATTAATTGCGTGGGCTGCCAAGAAACGTTCCATAAATGTCACATTTTTCTTGGTGACTCTAATAAAAAAATAATGGTTTAAAAAAGGAGGCTTACATTTATTGCGTGAGATTGGATGCTAAGCACGTTGACAGGCCGTTTTTCGTACCAACCTAAAAAGACTTCAGATCATCTCGGAAAAGTGCAAGAGGCATAGGTAATTTCGGACAGCTTAACAAGCAGGAAAATTGCAGTTAATTTTTTTCTTTATTCAATATATCTGATGCAATTGATAATACGAAAGAGGCAGCTTAAGTCTATCCGAATGATTATTTTTACTTAGGAGTGGTACCTTGCTAGTAACCACCCGTATTTTTCTTGTATTTTGCAATTTTCAACAATAATTATTATGTAACAACAGTTCAGAAACCATCAAATTGTTGAGTCTGCTGAAGCTGTAGTGCTTCAGATGTACGAAGAGCAAGAAAACGTCAAGAAAACACGCACGCGTATGTCTGGTTCTTCAAAACTGACAACTTGGGTCAACATAGTGTTAGGGAGAATCTGTAGGCCCATGAAAAAAAAAACAAATTTCGAATTCATTAGGAAATTCTACTGGAACACGATGAGTGATTGGCTTTGTGGGTTGGGGAGCAGCCGTTACGAAAGATATCCATGTTGATGTGGGGTCACTGTGTACGGTGAGCGTGGCCAAGTATGTGACATTCCTGGAAAACGATGAAGATAAACTTAGATGGTAACCCAGCAGTTTGTGATTATGAAGAGAGTAGCTGACCATCGTTCGATGAATAAACACAAACTTATGTGCAACTACAGGTACACTGCCTCGTGACCTCCCTTGAATTATTGAACAGACTGCGTAGTCTGTGAATAAATTGATATGAAATGCTTACTTTAGTGGCATCAGTTGCCTCGATTGACTCAATTTGCTTCAAGGAAGTGCCAATTTTATGAAAACTCTTAGATGAGCGACTTATAGCTTAACCTCGTGTAATAAAACTTCCTAATATCGAAAGAGCTATGTTCATTTTTTCGTTATACGCGGTTACCGTTGATGCAGAAGCCGGCGTTCAGAAGTGAAGTCACATATGAGGCTTTGGAAAGAACTTCTGTTTCCTGCTTTTGGTGCTTTGACAATGTCAACCAACTGTTTCCTACATTGGAAACATTTTAGGCATGTTTCTAAAACACAAAAAAGAGGCAACAGTCAGCAAGAACGCCAACAATGGAATTACAGGTCGTAGTGAATGCTCCATGCGGTATACGGCCCATCATTCAAACGCCGGCGTTGAAGATAATGCGGAATCGCGCAATATTCAAAACACAGACAATTTGACCTGTTCTTACATATGTTGCGTGCATGGCGGTTCTGTATGCAATTAATAACTGCAAAAAAAAAGAATGTTTTTTGTACTGCTTTGTTTTTTCGCATGTTCACCTTGAACCAAATACCCGTGTTTATTCTGCTATAATTTGCCTGAGTCACATCTCTCCTTTACACGTAATGCATCAGCGATTTCTTTTCATCTATTTGCAGGAGAAAATGGCTGATTGCGTTAATCTTTAGTGTGTTGTCACTTGTGTCCTGTGGCATCGCTGCCTGGCAGATATACGGCACCAACATGACACCATTCCTTGTGCCGGTGGCAAGTGAGTTTAGGTAAGTGCTAGCCTTTTGGCGACAAGCACCGGATTTCAGGTTATACTGAAAGCTCTTTGAATGTGGTAGCTTAAGGGGGGAATTGAAGCGGACGATTGAAACAGTTGGTGATACATGATCTAAGTGTACTACGTGGTACAAAGCACGGACGGCAAGAAGACAAGGACAAGTAAAGACTATCAACTGAAGGTTTATTTATCCTGCATTGCGCTTATATGTGACAACCAGAAAAAAAGAAAGAAAGGAAAGTTGCATTAAAAGAAACGTCACACTTCATACACCCGAAAAATGAGGCCGAATAAATCACAATCATTACACACATGCGCCATTTGCCAGATGATGAAGCTCTTTAACTAGGAGGGCAACCGATGGTGGGCTCACACGGTTGTCAGGTTCCCGAGCCATTCTCTCTGCTTCAATAATCAGGCGAGTGTGATCAATTTTGTGTCTGTGCAATACAACTGTATTTTCAAACAGCGCATGTCAACCACAGCCAATGTGCGTCCTACATCGGGCAGACTGGGTGGTGCCTCAATGAGCGCATTCGTAAGCTCGCACGTGATGTTCGCAATGGCAATGAAGGATTCATGGCTGAGCATGTCAGCAGTTGCGGCTGTCATGCGCTGATTGAAAATACAGTTGTGCTGCATAGGCACAAAGATGATACCACTCGCATGATTATTGAAGCAGAGAGAATGACTCGGGAACCTGACAACTGCGTGAGCAAACCATTGGTGGCCCTCCTATAGATAAAGAGTTTCATTATCTGGCGAATGACGCACGTGTGTAATGAATGTAGTACATTGTGCCTCATGTTTCGGGTGTATGAAGTTTGACAATCGTTCAAATGCTACTTTCTTTTCTTGTTTTTTTCCTGGTTGGCATATGTAAATGCAATTCGGGGTAAATGAACCTTCAGTGTATATAGTCTGCGCTTGTCCTTGTCTTTTTCCCGTCAGCGTTTTCTACGGCGTAGTATACTTAGATTAAGGGTGGCGCTGTCCTAGCCACTAGTCCTCTACATGATGGGATTCACTTTGCTATTGTCTCACAAAAGGGGACGAACATAAAAATTTAAAAGAGAGGGCAGCAGGGAAACATTCTGTATAACAATGTGCCAAGGGACGCCATCTATTAGCACGCGATCATTTTCTTATCTGTTCCTCAAAGGATCACGTATTAAACAGATGATGCGATGAGGCACTATTCTCCTGAATGACGCAGAGCAACTCGAAGTACTTAGGATATTAAAACATTCAGACCTCAGTAGTATAGACTAGTTGCGTTTGTGGCACTGTTATGTGAATTTTTAAGGAAACCCTTATTATGTCACTTTAATTATCCCACACGTTACCATAATTTTGTAGCGCATGTTGTTCGTTAAAAAATAATTTTGCCTGCAGTTTTGTCATGATATAGCCCTACGAGCCAACTCAACATTACAATAATTACTTTATTGTTTTTTTCTTTAAAGCACAGTACTGGACACGCTAAACCACTATTACATGCTTCCATTCTACCACGGCGTCTGCTACTTCTCTGGATGCCTAACATTCCTCCTCGTCAAGAAATATGGAAAAGCGAAAATTTCAAAGGTAAGTCATACCATGTTTAGCAGGGTATCTCAAAACACTGTAAAGATGCTTTCGTTTGTGATTCATAGTTTTTGAGTAAACGAGAAAAGTTACTTACTGAAACACAGAAACAATGACCAAGACTAACAACTTTGAGGTAATGTATCAAAAATGAAACACGGTTGGTGTATCATATATGGAAACATGAAATAAGCTTGCTCATTTAGGTTTTTCCTAAAAAGAGCATTTGTTGCCAACTGGAGGGACAGGAAACATGATACTCCTTATTATCAAAATTTCTCCGAGTCTTCATTGTTTCTTTGTTCCTTACCTCCAATTTATTAGCTTTCACAGTTTTCTTACAGAGACCGATTCCGTCTTTGCTCCTACGCAGATGATCCAGGCATCACTGTGGTGCATCAGCTTATTCTGCGGTCTGTACTGCCTGTTCATGAAGATCGAGTGGTACCGAAGCAGTGAACGGGCTGCGGAGTCGAAGCGCGTGTTTTACGCTTTCACTGACCGCATCTTGTGGTCTATCTGTGTGGCGTGGTTTGTCTTCGCCTGCTCTACAGGCAGAGGAGGTAAGCTTACATGATTAGGCTAAATACCCAGAAGTGTGCGTTTTAGCACAGCTTTTCTCTGGGCAAGTTGGTGTGACACTTAAGAAATAAATTAGCCTTAAAGACGCGATGAAAACACTATACAACAGCACCTGTGCTTCTCATGTTTTACTGTGGCATTCATTCCCTATTTCTGACTGAGGTATTTGGCAAGTTGGTGTTTTACTTCGTGTTTAGGTATATATACCATATAGTAAATAAAAAATAACACCTGTTGCTGACTTTTCAGTTTTGGTCTACTGCCACATATGCAATTTTTTTCAAGATATGTGTTAACTTTCTTAGTCGCGCCTCCTAAAGGTTTACAAAGGAAGTACAATGATCTCCAAAGAATGGTTAACCTGTATTTTTAAAAGCAGTCATATATGTGGTAAGACAAGACTCGCTACCCCCGGCACGCATGTCTTCGTAATTATCAAGGGATTAAAATGCATTTCATGAAACAATCTCAAGCAGGCTCTCTGTTCCTATATTGGCTCCGATAACTAAAGATGTTGTCGTTTTCTGAGGACATTTTTTGTAAAATAGTTACAAGGTGGTATCATATTTTGCTGTTCTCTCAGATAACCATGTGCCATAAACAGTTAGCCCCTTTAGGTGCCGCTGCAGATACGGCTCCTCATAACCACGTTTCCTCGCAAACATTGTGTTCGACGCCGAACTGAGGGTAATAAGAGCTGCATACGCACATTTTGAATAAGTTAGTCCCTGTCGAGGTCTTGAAGCTCATAAATGTTTACAAACGGTCCCGCTCCAAATGTTTGCTATTCGTTTTATGAGCATATTGATGCCCGGGTGAAAGGTCTCTGAGATTTTTCTGTAAGACAAATTAGGCGCCCATGGAATGGCTCTGTTGGCTATACGCGATAATTCATTCGTGTCCAAGAAAAAAAAAACAGCGTAGCCCTAATTTGTGTTTAATCTCAAGAGTGGCGAGCAAACCAGAAACTAACAGTTCTAAGACTACACCGAACTACAATATTCAAAAGGTGCTTCTATGTACTTTTTGAAGGACTAATGGGAGCCAGGTAAACAATGCCGAATCATAAATAGGAACAGTGGAATACAAGTTGAGTTTTTATTCACTTTCTATACTGTATTGCGTGTTCTGACTTTTTTTTTTCACTTGGAACGAACGCAGGATTCGTCAACCGCTTTCTATCCTGGAATGGATTTGTGCCGCTGAGCCGGTTGTCTTTCGGCGTGTATCTCATTCACTCACCGTTCTTCATCCTCATGTACAACATCGCCAGGGAACGCATCTTCTTCTCGCACTTCACGCTGGTGAGTCTTCTGGGAACTGACTGTGCCTGCCTTTGTCTAGCGTTGCAATATCAGCAACATGCAATCATCACTAGTGAACTCGCTTGATATTTGCTAAAGACGCAGTCACGTTTTAGCCTCATAACGTGGTTTCTGCAATTGAGCTAGCTTCGCGGAATGACTTCAGTGGTAGATAACAGCAGCATTGTAATTAAGAAAATTGGCCGGACGACCAACGCCGAGAGACGCACACTTTCATCATTTACTGGAGTCTCGTCAAAGTTGGGTAGCTTAGTAAAACTTAAAAACAAAAATACATAGTACCAAGTTAGCCCCCAAGCTGTGCATGGTGCCTGCATGTGCGAATATGTACAGTTGTTTTGAATTTATCAATCGTAAGGTGAGCAACCAAGGATTCTCATTTATGATGAAAATCCTCATCAACACTTATGATTCTTGCACCACGCAATTTAACTCAAAAGACCTTGTTAGGTGGCGTAAAGAAAATATAAAAAAAACATTAGAGGAACAGCTGGATATAGATGCAGCTCCCCAATATCTAAAAAAGTTTGCCGGCTTCGAATGGTGCCGTACTGCACAAGCAACCACGCGCAACTGGTTTTACCTGAACGTAGTTGGCTTAAACAAGTGTTGAGCCGAACTGGGGCTCGGGACTACGCCTCACTTGACTGCACAACGCCACTTTCACTGAATACATAGAATTCATGCAGGCATGGCTTTTGTGCGTTCATCATGCTGTTGAAGTGCTGGCTATTAAGGACAACTACTGCATGTTATCAGAGACACTAGCCAAAATATGCAGAGCGAAAAAAGAAACGACGTTTTGAGGCTTTTTATGAATTCTCACCAATGACGCGCTTTTAGGCGTGGTAATACATCTTCTTTATTGACCAGTTTTTCGATCAACTGCAAGTCATAGCCTGAGTTCACAGTAAGCTTACTTATTGTCTTTTTATAAAACACTGTAGTTTGCAGAAAAATGCAGCTTTAGGAGCAAACTTAGCTGGTCAACCATCGTAAATTTGGTTGATTTCTTTCCATATATATATACAGCGTGATGTGCGTAGAAAACGCATTAACTTCAGCGTTTCCTTCCGGTGTCATCGGAAGAAAATGTCAACGAGAAATAATTCCATGCCACCATTCAACGCTCACTGTAGCTCTAATTGTGCAGGTATCCCAATGCTTCGCTGTCATGGTGTGGAGCTACATCTTAAGCTATTTCCTCTTCATCGCCTGCGACGCGCCAACGGGACACTTGGATAAGCTGGTGTTCATGCGCGAGCGGCGAAAGGAACCAACGCGGTCTGACGTAATGGCCAATGGCGTTCATCACAACGGCAACAACAACGTCGGGGACTTGCCCGTCGGGTTCATCGAAGAGGGCCCAATCAAGAACTACTGGACTGTGCCCCCGTCTATAGGAAGTTGCGGCGACGGCTGCTGTACCGAGAAGAGTTGCCGCCTGTGATGTTTAACACGCGCCAACAAAAGCGAAGTGAGCTCGTTGGTGGTGGACAATCTACTCGAAAAGCGGCAATATTCCGGCAACCGATGCTTGTGCGCGCGGCTGCTGTACAATTGCCCCCCCCCCCCCCCTATTTGATCCTGGCCTCAGCGTTCTGAGAAAAAAAAAGGAGTAGGCGAACCTATGCCTTCAGTGCCATTACACGCGCAGGCAAGCACATTAATGTGAGAAAGAATTACGCCACGTTCGAAAAGCGTTACCGCGTGAAAATCGCGCCAGGGAAAAAAATTCCCGACCGGTTTTTGAAGCTGATTGTTTTCGCTGACGTCTGCGACCATGTGTGACGGCTGCAACCGAACCGAGTCGACTCATTACGTGTCACGTAATTGCCCGACGCGGAAGCTTCGCTCGGGAAAGTTTTCACGCGGGATGATATCATTGTTTGCGTCACATGTTGGTTGAACAATGAATTCCTCTTGTGCCTACGGGCTAGTGGCATGTAATGAGCTATATGGGCACATCCTACTGCCTTCCAATCTTCCACTCTCTCTCAATTTTTGTTAATTCCGTTCGCAACGTCATACTGATATGTGGTCGCATCTAGGAAGGAACCGGTTGTAATGACAGTAGCGTCGCTTTGTTTGGCAAGAAACAATAACTTCGACCCTTTGATGTTACTCACGTTCACACTACTAATCAAACGGATCTCGCGCCACTATTATGCTGTGCTTGCTGCTTAAGAATCAAAAGCCAAAAACAACAAACATGACAATGCTTTAGTGAAGCTACCGCATTTACTAAGGCTCTATGTGGATCAAAGGCGAAGTGGCTGGTCGGCCTATAGCCGTACTTTCACCCACAGAATGCTGATGCGCTAAAAAGGGGCAAGCACTTGTACGTGAATGAAAACATCTTAAATATTTATTTTTACTAACAAACCTTCGCACAGCGCGCAAGACTTTCACATTATCAGCATATTGCATTCTGCCATTTGAGTGAAATGCGAACCTATTTATTTTGTTCATACAACAAATGCGCGCAGTGCTTTGTAAATAACTTGTAAATAAACTGTGTCATCTGTTCTTGTGTAAACTGGCTGAGTTGTTTCTATGTCGTTGAGTTACAATATTTCGCTAAATAGTTGTATATACGCGTTAGACGATATCGCATCGAAATCGGAGCACGCAAGTTTTTCGGAGCCATTCCTTGCCCAAATAGATTATATGTGTCATGATTTTAGATGTAAGAAAAACCGATCAACCTTAATGTACCCAACCTTAATGTACCTAAAAAAGTCAGGCCTTGGCATTAAAATCTTCCATTGTTTTTTGATGTAGAGCTCACTCCCAGTGCTGTCTAAATAAATAACAGCTGAGGTTATAGTTGTCAAAACCATAGGATGATAAATAGGCACAGAGTATGAGGCTTCGGAATGATTTATGTCACCTGGTGTCCTTTAACGGGCACCTCAATATAGGTGCACTTACGTTCATGCATTTAGTCCCATGTAAATTCCTCAATATTGTCTAAGAGAAGACATATTCGTATTGCGTAACAGATAATTATTTCTGTAAAAAAGTATTTTGTTGTAAGACTGTACAAGCGAATGTATACCTTAGAAAATTGTCGTAAATTACGGAAAAGTTTAACACAGTAGAATATGAATACATTACAAGAAAGAGGCAAAAGAGACGGAAGCAGCACATAATTGGGTGATAGTAAAGATTTCTAGCGTTATCTAGGATACATTTTACTGCTAGTCTTGTTTAACACACAATAATTCACAATTGTGGCTCACTATCAAAAAATAAAAAAAGAAGTGGCGAATTGCGTTAATAAAATGGGAGAGACAACCATAAAGCCCGAATTCGCGAAGTGTTTGTTTTCTGCGTATGTAAATCAACACAATATTGAAATGATATGTTTAATGAACGGGCATCATTGGCTGTTTATTTGTGTTCAATATGACCGACAACTTTTCACGTTCATTGGAGAACACAAGAAGGCTCCTAGGAGCAGCTAATGCCGTTTTCAGATGCCCACACACGCTGACGCGTTAGGCACATGTGTGTGCATTTTTAAGTGAGGCGGGTAATTTATGGCACATCGTTTCAATGTACGATTGCATAGACTATTTGGATAGCAATACTGTAGCTGATCGAGTAGTATAAACAATGTGAGCAAGGCGCAGTGAAATATTGTTAAAGCAAATTCTGAAGTTTTAGAAGTCAGGGGTGCTATACAGGATCAGCCGAGTTTCGGCCAAGTTTCCTGAAACTACGGATTTTCCCGAGCTCTGGCGACACCTCCTTATGAACGAGCCAACAGTACGAAAAAGTACATTCACTCCTCAGCGTACTACGTTTCATTGCTTCCAATGGAACGAGTCATCGCGTCACGGACGATCGACTAAGTTGGGCAGCTTTTCAAACCAGAGGCATCGTTTTTCATTTGTTTGTCGTTCCAATTAGAGCAGAAGTGCACCCATGCAATAAAAATGTAGGGAACGTTTTGTGATGATATATTTAGAGGCAGGGGGAGCTTGAATTTATTTTGAAGCTTTTATTGCCTGCAATAAGTCTGTTTTAGAATAATCAGCTCGGTGGCTATTGACATCAGCACCGACCGAGTGTCTTACAACATCGCGACCGCAGCTAAACCCGAGGCCACGTGTTCATCACCTTGGTCAGCCTGTAAATTCTAGTACGCTGCTCGGGCGGTGCACATCGTCTTTGTTGTCATCGCCCACTAGCACCCGAGCCCGTGCGGCCGGTTAATTAGCTATATAGGGGCGAAGCTCCTAAAGCCATGGGTCTGTCCCTCCTAGTTCATGTTACGTGACCGCCTATATAGTTTGATAATTCACTCAGCAGGTGTGGGTGGATGGAAAGACGAACGGACAGATAGACAGATAGAAAGGCGCACGGACGAACGGATGAACAGCCAGACAGACAGACGATTCATGGTTTACCAACAAAACACTCCTATGCTTCACCCCACTCATCATCATTCCCTCCGAGGATATAATGGAAGTTTTTTTGGCTGGACAGTATACTTGGCTAGTTAGGCCATGACATGCTAAAACCGAGCTGATTACGCCAAATTATAGTAAGGCCGAGGTACTTACGTCACATCTTGAAAAGACCATGCTAATGAAGTCATGTAAAGCTAGATCCGGACTAACTACAGCATGTTAGTCAATGAGCCAACTGAGGTATGCTAATTAACGCTACGTTATTCATGAGCACGCAACAAAATACTATGCTACTTACCCTCTAAATATGATGACAGTAAGTATTTTGCTAATCAAAATTACGTTTAATAACTCTACACTGATCAGGGCCTTCTCAATTGCGGCCGAAATAAATGTCTTCTAATTGAAGCCTTATCAATTAAGACAAGACAGCTAAGTGTAATGGTCAATAAGCCTCAGCTGGTTTGTACAAAAACATTATGACAGAGCTGATGCGGTCTTAACTTCGAAGTCGACCACGCACGTGAGTTGACGACAAACTTAAAAGTTGCCAGAAGCTAGGTTATCACAAGCTCCTATATGGCTGCAGCCTTGCACAAGTAGTGTAAGTTCACCAAATATTTTATATGCAAAGAAGCTGCCACGTAGCGTTCACCGCACCAAATGCTTGACAGTAACAGCGGCACAATCGTAGTCACGAGTTGAACTCCGGCATTCTCAGAATCAGAGTTTGTATCCGAGTTCACGCGCCCAATTCTTTGATCTACAGACGTCCGTGGCGAAGATTGGGTACGCCCAACACGTTCGCTCTTGCCGAGGAGCAGTACTCACGTCGAGCGGCACGATTAATTTGTCAGCTTTATCGCGCAGACTATGTACACACGCGTGCAGAAAGAAAAATGATATCAGCTTGCGGCTATGATGTCTCTCAATCAATATCACCGCGCTCACGACGTATCCAATTACAGCTACGTTGCAGCCATGACGGGAGCGCCCCTGGTGACCACCTGTCCTTATATTTATTTGCAATACTTGATAGAAGCGATACGAGCAGCACTACACATGGCAGGTCAGCAATGAAGGAAAAATCAAGCTTGCGCGACATAGGGCGAATGCACAATGTCACTACCGCTCCCGGTTGTGGTGTCAAAATTTATTGTTTATTTTCATGTTCTCAATTGTACCCCCCCCCCCCCCCCCCAAGTAAACTACGACGGTGGCAAAGAGCCGACTATTGAATCCATGGGATTCTATGGAAGTTACGCTACCAGTTTATATATACCTTGGAACTTGTCCAAAAGAGGACATACGCCTACGAACACGCCTGTGGGAGGCACGTGTTGAGTTGGCAAAAAAGTCACAGCTTTGCCACAAAGGTGAAGCAGTGAACGTGATAGCAACGAATTGAAAGGTTACGCGCAGATTGGCAAGCAGATCAAAACGTGCCCCGCGTTTCTCACGCACAAAAATGCACGAAACGTACTCACAGGTACAGATGAACGCGAATAAGTATCTCAGTTGTTACTTCGCTGTGTCTGAAAAGCGCGGTCTTTTCGCAAGCGGAGACTGCAAAAATTGCGGTGACCTTTGTACGCCCGGTAACTACCACAGAGTAGTTCCGGCGAAAGCTTAAGGATAGCCAAGACATAAGATGCTCCCACCCGTGAGTTAGAAGCGTGCGGGTGTGCTTTGAGGGGCTTTACAACCACCCACTCCTTTCTTCTAGGCAAAATATGGTGGGAGATGAGGAAGTGCGCCACTGCATGCTCCTTGCACCATCTTGCTGATAATGTTGAAAACACGATAGTCTCTCCCCCCCCCCCCAATATGCCCATTGCAAGCGGTAAGTGGTAGATATAAATAACTTCCCGTTTGCTCGTTAAAGTACGTGCTCCTCGGTGGCTCAGTGGTTAACGTCTCGCCATCACAACGTCTAGGTTTCAAGTTCAATACCAGGTGCTGGAGCTTTTTCCTAGATTCTTTTCTTTCTTGCATTTTCATAAATATATATACGTATACATATACGATTCGTGATGGCGACAGGAAAATCCAGCTGAGAGTGTCCACATAATTGCTATCGCAATAGAAAATAACGCGACAATCACGCTGCCTCACTGCACTGTTAAATTGTTGACTGAGTGGCGGCGCTGA